TGTGTGTGTGTGTGTATGTGCGTGCAGACCTGACACAAAACTTGGGCCCGAGTTGTGAACGGATATCGGAGCCTCCGGGGGCCCTCAACGCTTTGCTGCGGTTTGCAGCTCAGGGGCTCCGTGGCTTCTGACTGTGGCGATGCTTCTGTGCTCGAGTCTTTCTCGAAGCCCGAAGGCGGGGAGCTCCCGGTAGGGTTCCAGGGATCAGTTGCGTGAGGTTTCGGGCGTTGTGGCTTCAAGAGAACAGCTGGAGTAGTTTGCACCTTTAAAATCTCACTGTCGGCGGCCAAATTCATTCCAGGCTTTCGGGTCCCGCAGCCTAGGGTGCAGTGGTCCCTAGACTCCTCGGCGTTGCTGCAGCAGGTGCTGACGTTGTCTCTGAATCCTCGCCTTCCACGAAATGCAGCGAGGTTCGGGTGCGGGGGGCTTGGGCGGCTTGGAGCATGAGCTCAACTGGGGCGAATCTGGGCCATTTTGCAGGGCATCCAGTGTCTCTTGAACCTAAACCTTTAATTCTGTACGGACCTGTATCCCCAAAGAATCGGTCCCCAACTTACCAGCAACTGCCTGAATTCCACACCCGAGTAGGACAGAGCAACACAGAAAAGCACCTTTCGGATACTACTCTTCGTGCACTTCTTGAGCTTCCTTTTTTCTGGCTTTGGGAGTTTGGCGTTAGTGGACGCTAGCCAGGCGTAGGCACTGAAGTCTCGGTCATGTGTTCCTTTCCGGGTCACCCTCAGAACAGGTCGGTGATGCCGCATGGAGAAGCTCATCATCTTTGCAAATCGATGAGGCCGACAGTTTGGGAAGTCCTTCCCACTTGCCTTGCAGATGTTGGCACCTGCGACAACAGAAGGAAAGTGGACTCTTGCCTCTTGTGTCGGTTGCATAGGTCATCTGTAGCACAATCGTTCAGTTCAGTACCCAAAGTTCTCTCATTATCAACTGCCGTCTTCAGCAGCAGAACGACCACCATTTAACTATTGGAGCCTCAATCCACTTCGCCCTGTCGCTTTAAGGGCAGCGTCGCATGTCATCGCCCTCGCCCCAACGAAACAGTCTCAAAGTCGACAGCATGCCAGGACCAAGGGCTCGAAGTACTTTGATTCGGGCTGTTTGGGTTGCGAGCACCACAAGATGATTTGTCGGCAGTATGCCATTCTCCTCGTACCCCTGTTCATGTCCTCTCGTGTGTTAAACTCAGATCTCCTCCTCGTCTTGCAGTGGATCGTTTGCTCTTGGGAAGTGGTACTGCTTTCTGTGCTTACTGGCACGTGTCTCATTACTCGGGAATTGGTCTGAACAAAAGCCAATGATGGAGGTGAGTGTTAATAGCACACTTCGGTTTTTGTTCTCACTGCTTAACAGCAAATTGCTGCTTACCTACCGCCACTACCTATCGCTGCTTGTTAAAGGTGTGAAGGTGCAGAAGCTGGTTTCTGTGAGTATTGCTGAGACACTTTGTTTTGCTGGCTTCTGGCTGCTTATTGCAGCTTCTGCCGATTCTTTTTCTTGCTGCTATCAAGCCTCCTGCTCGTGCCACGGCAGCTGCTGCTGCTACTACTACTAACCACCACTACTAGTATCAGTAGTAGTGTAGTAGTAGTAGTAGTAGTAGTAGTAGTCGTAGTAGTAGTAGTACTACTACTACTACTACTACTACTACGACGGCAACGACGACCACCACCACCACCACCACCACGACGACGACGACGACGACGACCACGACGACCACGACGACGACGACGAGTATTACTCCTAGTGCTATTGCTACTCCCCCTGCTCCTGCTCCGGCCGCTGCCGCTGCCCGTTGTTTTGCGACTGGAACTACTGCTACTAACGCCGCCAGCACTGTTTCACACATTGTTTCGATTGCTTCGATTACTTCTGCGTTTCGGCTTTGGCTCAAGTGCTGCTAGCCTTCCAAAGTATCAAAGCGTCGTTCCTGTCAATCGAGCCTGTGACCGACATGTCCAGCCCCTGGGACTGCGTCTGCGAGTTCATCCGCTCCCAGAGCGCCAATCTGCAGAGCATCATGGAGGGTCTCTCCAACCAGCACACAATCAGCGATCTGGATACAAGCGACACGCTCACCCTGAACAGCCGAATGTCGCCGCTGCATTTGTTCATGTTTCTGCTGCTGGCTGTGTGGGGATTCCTTTACGTCAACGGCCGTCAGACGGAGCAGCCCACGAAAGCCACGGGTGGCAATCCTCCGGCTGGCGGTTCTGGTTCCAGCTCTTCCTCTGGCGCTTCCGGCTCCGGATCTTCCTCAAGTTCATCGGGAGGGACTGGACATTGTGACTCAGAGCTCTTCTGAAGCATCTTGGCAATGGATGCCCTGATGGGGTTGTCATCTCCGTCTAATCGCACAAAGCAGGTGAGAGGCAGTCTGTCTATAGAGCGAGGGAAAGATTGCCAAACTGAGAAGCACGTTGGCACCCATGCAGTTATGCCTGCATCCTGTTTCTGCCATAAGTGTCTTTCACACAAACCTAGCTTTGTTGCAGTATCCTGTGCTTGCCCCGTCTTCTCGTTTGGAAAGTCGGCTGTCGGGCCCCACGGCACTTCTGCTGCACTCGAAGTTAGGCTTGTTTACACTTTACACCTCGTTTTCAAACGTTGCTCCACCCGCTGCATCCGTCGGAGTGCCTCCGGCAGCAAAAACAAAGCTGGCACCAGTCTCACAGATGGTGGACGTTGCTCTTGGAAACCTGAGACTGCCTGGCATGTGTCACTGACCTATTAGGTAAGCCCGTGTTAGGGCCCTGAGCACATCGTCCACTGGAAAGTTCGGCATTAGCTACAGACCCGCACGCGCTGCATATCGTGGTGAGCCGGCGTGCCTGAAAACTGTTGCTGCGCCAAGTGTTCTGGAGCACCGGCTATGTCAGTTGCATTTGCGGTTGGCAACGAGGCAAATGAAGCACTGCTACTCACTAACTGCTAATTTGGCTGTTTGCTGTTGTCGTCCTAGGTCCTATGGCACCCGGCCATTGCTTCTTTCTCTCCGTCCCCCAGACCTCACTTGCAGCGCAGGGAACACCCACGGGGATGGACAGCATGTCAACTTCTTGCCAAAGCAACCTGGAGAGTTTGGTGCTGTGCCCGCCTGCCGCTGGTTTACGCCCCCCGAAGTGAAGCCAAAGCGAAGTGCATGATCACATGTTCCTGTGCAAGTTGCAGTCACTTTGTATTCCGGTGGCTGGCTTTTCGCAAGAGCCAGCGCAAACCTCGACAGACATCCGTACGTAGATGGACTGCCCCTGAACTTCGAGGCACTGTGCTGCCAACACGGATGGCGGTTTCGGAAGCTGCCCCAACTTTCGAACGGCTGGTGACGAGCGACAGTCACTTGTCGGGATGTATTGGTCCTTGAGTTGATAGCGAGGATGTCGTTGTAAGAGTTGGACCCTGCCTCGTCCGACTGATCAATGCTAGTTTGCTGCAAGCCTGTACGTAATATTTGGAGTAGTAGTGGTACTAGTACTACTTGTTCTACTGGTACTTCTAGTACTACTAGCACAAGTAGCACTGGCAGTGCTAGAAAGTCGTCAGTCGCAGTCGCTGTACTGTTTGTCGCTGTAGCAACTGCAGCGTAGCGGTGGTAGCGCCAGCAGTAGCAGGAGCAGTGGCAGTTTCAGTAGCACTGGCCAGTAGGGGCAGCAGCAGGCGCCACAACGGCGAAGTCGGCCAACGTCAGCTCAACCAGTTCGGCAGACTCGAAGGCGGTGCTATGGAGTGCTTCTTGAGACTCGAAGTGCAACATCCGACGGTTGGAGGTTGCAAGAACGGGTTGCGATGCATATCTCGGTTTCGAGCTGAAAAGCATGCTTGCCATGGATTCCGAACCAGAGCATGAAGCGAGTCGCCTGGCAAGTGAAGCAGCGATGCAGGCCGTCATCATTTTAGATTGGGATGACACGCTTTGTCCGACAACCTGGGCTATGAGACTCGGCTCCTATGGCTAAGCGTTCGTGGCAGAAGCTCGTAGATGTGCCGGAAGTGTTGAGAGTGATTTTGAGGCCAAAAAGTCTTTGGTTTCTTGGAGGCTATCGGTATTTAAGATCTGCCGGCTCCGAACCGGGTTTCGGAGGATTTGGGGCCAACTCTCCTGTCAAGCCTGAAGGAAAATCTGTGCTGCCGTGCCAACAAAAGAGTAACCATAAGATAAAGCTCAAGCTAAGCTTATGCTCTGTATGATTTCAAATCAGAAAACAGCAGCACACTAGCTGCCGATGATATATGGGTCATTTGCACGGACAGTGCTTCGTCCCTCCGAGCTCTCGGTAGAAAGGTAGCTTCAAAGAGCAAACGCATGTCAAATGAATGTTGATTGATCCACACCCGGCTCTTGACTGTGTCCTGCAAAGGCGGTTCACTCTCAGGCTCTTACTGAACACTCCCTGGAAAGATCAAGGGCAGGCGCAGGGCTTAGCACGAGAAATTCAATCAGCAGCGAAATCCAGCTTGGAAAGTATCCAATCACGTCTTTCTTGCAGGTGCTTTTCTCACAGGTAGCGTAGGGTCGATGGTCGAGGCATCATTGTTTCGCCGGGTTAGCCCAGGCTGTGCATCCGTTTCAGCTTCGTGCAAAGGAATCTGGTGGAGTCCGCAAAGAGTGAGGAGGAGCTCATGAAGATGGAGATGCCGCCTGGAAATATACTGGTAACTGATAAGCTTGCTCGGGCGCCGGGTAACCGGGTTTGCCGAAACCGGCCCGACACCCTGCAGCCCAGCCCCTACTGCGTGGGAAACTCCTTCTCGACTTGCGAATTTTCTTCGGAGGCATTGGGTGAGTGCTGAAGCGAGCCTGAAACTGAGGGAGTATGCTCGGCAGCTGGAGGAGCAGCCCGGCTCACATAGTCGTGAAGCGTGTGGATGTCGTCCAGCAATCAGGATTTTACCACACAACTGGTTGTAAGTGGTTCAGAGTTCTGAGTGGCGACGCAAAGTCCCCTGGCCTGCACCTGGAAGTTGTTCGTCCTTTCAGGTTGGAGCTTTGGGTCCGCGGCTTTTCGAGTCTCTGCGAGAGCCAGAAATATCCTAATCTAATCCAGGCACCCGCCCCATGCTCTAGCCGCTAGCCTCCAACAGACCACTCCGGTAAGCAGCCCCCATCTTCAAATCTTCACCCTGTCAATGCCATCCGGCTTGCATTCACGAGGCACTCTGCTGCAGTGGTGGACTTTTTGCGTGCCGCAAGGACCGGAGATTTCTGCAGGAGGTCAAAAGGTTCAAAGCGAGGCTACTGGGGAAAGCTCCAGGTTGCAGGCAGCTGTAGCTGGCGGAACCCCCACACGGCACGTCATCAGAGTGGGTTGAAATCCGCATTGATCCGGATTGGCGATGGCATTCACATTAACGTAGTAGTTCTGAAAGGAGAGCTCGATCGAATTCCAGATCCTAAACCCTAAGGCCCTGAGAGGCTTGGAGTGGGCTTTGGTAGCCTCGAACTTTGAAGCGGGGAGTCACGGTGGAGCCCCGCAGGAAGGTGGCGCGCGTGGCAGTGGTGACGCTGGCGTCGGAGGCACCCAACTGACTCAAGCATGGAAGGTTCGGTCATGCCCTTCATTTTTCTCCCTTACTCTGTTGATTGTTATTGTTAGCATGATTACGGTGATCCGTAATTAGCGCAGGAATTAATCTCGCCATCCTCTCCTGTGCTGACACTAGTTTGAGGAATGCAAAGTATTCCCTACTTGAAGGAAAAACAATGCACAAGTCCTCATGTTGCTGCAACGTATCAGTGATTCCGGATTCTTCCAACTACCACCATCATCTCCTTGATATTGTGCTTGCAGGTAACAGAGATTTCTTGAGTTGTGCTTCAAGGTTTCGCTTGTCGAGGTGCCGGCGTTAGCGCATAGTGGTGTGAGTTTCTTCCAGCAGAAAGGTGCCAGGGACCAGCACGGTTGAAAACACTTCGTCACATGCGCGACTCGAGCGAAATACTCCGGTAGAGGGAGACTCCAGCACCCCCCCAAAATGCAGAGCTGCTCCAGTGTCCTGAGCCCTGGATTTCGATGAGGAGTTCTTTCAACGCAGCGCCGAGACGTTTTTGGACGCTAGGCCGAAGTTCGGGGAACTGCTTCTTGGGTCGGGCCCATAAGTGCGGTCGGTGAGACATAAATGGATGCTGAGGCTCCGTGTGTGTTCCTGTCCAGCATTCCGAACCCAAAAGCCTCTCCGGCCTTGCTCCGACAGCTAAGCCACGTACTGCGACTCCAGCTTTTCCCCGAGTCCCGTACTTTGAGGCTTAGGTCCAGGTCTTTTGTTTTTGACTTTGTTTGTAAACCGAAGTACTCCGCGAGACATCCCGGAAGCCGGCAACAGGGTTCCAGACCCGAAGCGAAGTGAAGCGTAAACGAGGAAGGCGCTCGCATCAGCGAGCTCTTCGAAGAACTAGGCCAGGCTTGCCTGTGGCGTTTTCAGGAGCCGTGGTAGTGATCTCAGTGACATGGGACTGGCTTTCTGAGAATGATCCTGTTTAGCAGTGTCCGAAGATTCGCTGCAACTGTTTTCACTATGGCGGAAGGCCAGGATGAATAGTAAAGATGACACCATGGTTGCACTATGATCTTGTCAGAGTTTGTATTACAAGAAGAAGCATGTTGTTGCTGTTGATTCTATGCTGCAACCGTCAACTGTAACTGGAATGGTGCTTGTCGTGATTGCTGCTGCTGCTGCTGCTGCTGTTTTTGTTGTTGTTGTTGTTGTTGTTGTTGCTGTTGCTGTTGCTGCTGTTGTTGTTGTTGTTGTCGTTGCTGGCTGTGACGGTGGTGACAGTGATGGCCGTGGTGGTTGGCGGCTGCGGGGGTGGCGGCGGTGGTATGCTTGTCGTTGCTGTTGGTGTTTAGCACATGTTGGTTAGGACTTCTAAATGACCACTTGTTTGCTTAACCTAAGCAGCCACCGACCGTTGGACCATTGCTCCTTGGCTAATGAAATTCGCAACATCTCGATGTCCCGACAAGCAAGAAAACCAGCAGCATAGAAATCGCCAGTATCGTGCATCATCGCATATCATCGCCCTATCGTTAGCGTCACAATCGGCAAACACAGAGAAGACCTTTTCCTTGGATTCATTGGTGTGACTCGTCTTCACCTGGATCGCGGGGCATCTCCATGAGGTTGTAGTCGTAGCAGTAGCGTGTAGAAGTTGCAAGAAAACATGCCACGACCTTGCATGGCCCCACTATGCATGTGCATGCAGCTTCGGGTGCCAATGTGCACTTTGCGCACCACCGCAGTGCCAGCCTCCAAGCCACGGCAAGACCCTCTACTGACTCTGCTCCCGAAATCCTCTGTTGAGACTCCCGAGCTGCTTCAACGTCTCCGATCTCAGCTGTCTTGACTTTTGTCTCGGGCTCTAACTAGGCTTGATGTGGAGCTGGTGGGGTGCAGGCATCAAGGTGTATTTTGCCAAGCGCCCTGCCAACTGCAATACCAATGCCGACACTTGGCAGCATCCGGCTCCTTGCGTGCATCCAAGCAATGTTTGGCCTCAGGGTCTTGAGCCTCTTTGGAAAGAGAGAGTTTTAAGGCAACGGACCTGGTGCGTTTCTGTGAAAAGTTTGATGTGCACTTACGCGTGCCCTGTTGCTGCATATAATGTTAAGTTTCTCACGGACTCGTCCGTTTCTAGCAGCGTGAGGTGTGAAACAGTGGTCGGGGCTGCAAGGCATCTCCAAACTCCGAGCCGAAGCTCAATGACTCGGATTGTTCTCCAGGCCCAAAGTTCCGAAGACCGGCAGGGAACCCCAAGGCCCCGGCAAAGTGAATCGGATGTTTTGGCCATTTTCGCCATGTGCCAAACATGAAGCCCGAGCATGTGGTTATCCGGGAGGACATCAAGGGGTTAAGGAGGTTCAACCCGAAAACTTTCTCCGCCCTTCCTAAACGCACCACTTGCTGCTCGCACGAGCCAGAAGCCAAGTTCTGATGCTCGGCGATGGCCTTCCCTTATTTGCCATCAACCCTGAAGCCCACTTACATATCCCACCCCCACACCGTTGGATGAGCTTCGAGGAAGTGGCAGCGAAGAAGGAGGCACGGGCTCTGGGGGGGGGGGGTCTGAAGGCTTCTTCTGCTGGAGGCCTTAGATGTCCTTGTCCATTTTAATTTTGTCGAAACGATCGTGAAGAAACTGGCATAGCTGTGTCAAGACGGTGGTTGTTACCACTCTTCTTGGGCTTCTGCCTTGTATCCTTCGAGTTGTGGCATCCCAACGGCCTTCGGCTTCTTTGTCGTAGCTTGCGTGGGGTGTAGGGCTTTTGACTTTGCAGCTTCAGGTTGAAAAAAGTTTCTTTGCGGTTCCGAGTCATCGCGAATGTGCCGCGAAGCTTCACGTTCACCCGTCCTGGCTAGGGAGTATGATTCAGTATGATGCCTTCCAAACCCTTGTCTTTGGACTGTGGTTGTAGTTGCCTGCGCGGCTCGGGTTTATCACTTAGCCCGTGAACCGCAAGCCTAACTGTGCCATCTGATGCACTTGCCGATGTCTTTTGTCGAACTAATGCTGACACTTCCCTGCTAGGCCTTGTTTCCCTTCATGTGGGCGAAAGGCGCCGAGCCATGTTCCGAAATCTGGTGCAAACCCCAGACCAGCAGAAGTCACCCTACCCTGGTGGTGCCTGACCTCATGGTGATCTTAACATAATAACACCCAACACCTCAACCAGTAAGTCCAGGCAATGAAACGGTGTTTGGCCAACCTCTATCCCAGCTACGGCGTTTGGCACGGCACCAGGCGCGCGCGTTTTTCCCAAGCTTTTAACTAGCAGTGCAATGCCCCAGCCATGTTGTCGCTCCCCCTGCCCCTTTGCCGCTCCTCTGCAGCTGCTGCTGCTGCTGCTGTTGCTGCTGCTGCGGCGGCGGCGCCGGTGGTCGTCGTCGTTGTCGTCGTCGTCGCGGTTGTGGTGGTGGAGTGGTGGTTGGTGCTGTTGTTGTCGTCGTGCGGTTGTGTGGTGCTGGTGGGCGTAGGCGTGGCCGTGCTCGTAGTTGTGGTTGTGGTTGTTGTCGCTGTTGCAGTTTTGTTCTTCTTGGTGTCTTCTTATTACTGGTTGATGTTGGTTGCTAGTGGGTGTCTGTTGGTTGTGGTGGTTGCATTTGTTGCTGCTTGATTCATGATGGCAGTATCTACTTTGATTCAGCTGCCTATAATACCCAGAAGTAAAGCTCACTTCGCTAAGCCTGCTAAGTTCAAACACAGCCCGAATCGATCGCAGGTGGAACGTGCTCTCCATCGGCGATTCAGCTGCTCGACACACATGCTCGGCCCAATCAGCCCACTCGAATCTTTTTGGGACATTGGCTTCCTCGGTCCCCTTTATTCACCGACATCATCCACAGACCCGTGGAAACCGAATTACTCGCCCGCGATATCAGGAAATTGAGCTGACAGCGATCAAGCAAGTGGTATCCTCCCGGTGGCGAAAGTCAAAATCGCCTTCTGGGCAGCACTTGTCGGTCTTTCAAGGAACCTCCCCATCACTGAGCTTGGGGCTCAAGGGTTCGGGTTCACGAAGATGCTCGCTGACTTGTTTGCTCACCTGTGGGGCTCGCAGGGCTGGGCGCCGGCTTACAAATGGGGGTTTCAGGGTTCCCTGGCGAATCCAAGATCTTGTAAGCCTGCAGAATGAAGCGCCCCCGTAGCTAAATCGGAGAGGAGTTTTCCTTGTAATTAATGCAGGGACTTAAACAATGACCTGATTATATTTGTAGTATAATGGGCCCCAAAACCCTATTCCAATTATTAAGGCCTCCATGTTAGGAGTTTTCAGCCGCGGAATCCTGAATCTGACCCTTTCCCTCAATGCCCAAGAAAGTATGGGATTTGGGTTTCGACTCACACATCGTCGCGCGCAGGCAGGCATGGTGGGGGTTTGGGGAGGCTGCGGAGTTCCTTAGACGCCCTAGAAACTCCAAAAAGACTTCGGTCAGCACGCAGTACATGCATTACATGCACATCTTACGTAACATCGTCATGCAACAGTATTTTACAGTACATACATACGTTCATAAATGTCGGGCTCTGCGGTCAAAGTCGCATAGGCTTGTTCCAGTTCTCGAGCCCCCCATCACTGAAGAGTTGCGAGTTCCATCAAGAATCCGAAAAGAGTGGCAAGGAAACCCTCGAAACCCCCTAAGCGCCCAAGCTCCCGCCTTCAGCAAGTCATGAGTCATAGGTTGTGCAAGACTTGCAAGCTGGAGCCGCAGCCCTGCTTGTCTACGTGAACTTGCCAGCACCATGTGGCGTTTTGGGGTCTTACAGAGAGTACGCCGGCCTTGGAGTTGGGGCTTCGGCTGAGACATGAGGGGATATGAGGGTTCGGGCTAGCGACTCCAAGATCTTGCAAGATAAATACGGCTCTAAGGGTTTGCTTACTTTGCATCTGTTGGGCTTGACCACGGGCTGACTTTTTTGGAGCGCTTCAAGCCATAACTCGCAGGATGCGGTTTACAACGCCTAGATCTGGGGTGTGGTCTCAGGCTCGCGAGGCTTATGCAGCGTTGAGTGTTGAGGTTTCGTTGTTCAGGTTCAACACTCAATGAACCCAACCCTAGAAATGCTAGGATGGCCGCTGTTGATAATCCTAGTGTCCTAGTATATTGGTCTGGTGGCTGCGTAGTCTCTCAACATTCTAGGGGCTTTTTGGGAAGGAGGATTTCTGTGACGCTCTTGTTCTGCATATATGCGCAGGGGGTTGTCACCCGAGCTTTCTCTGCCCCTCGTGCCGGCGCCCTTAGGTTGGGTTTTCTGGTAGTAATCGTTCCAGGGATGGTTGCCAGTTGCTTAGTTTTGCATCACTCTGGTTCTTTACGGCTTTACGGCTGGGTCAGAAGCTTGAGGAGGAGCCCTGACTCTTGCTAAAGTTTTGGCCGAGGGCGAGAAACAGGGGCAGACGGTCCAACAAGCTGTGAAGCAACCCTTAACAGAGGCCCCATGGTGGGTTAGGCCGGTTGTGCAAAAGGGCTTCATGGAATTTTTGTTCGAGGTTTGCTTGTTCTTCTGTTTTGTGCAAACAGCCAATGCCAGTGCAGTTCATGCACATCGGCTATCGTCCTGGGCCATGGGACGATCCAAGCAAAAGGTCTTCAGTGATTTGTCGGATGCTTCAGTCGCTAGCTCGCTCTCTTTCGAAGCTCTGAAAATGAATCTGAGGCTGACCATGCAGCTGCGGCAGGTCGCGCCGCAGCTGGCAGCGCCAAGTCTGCCAAGAGTATTCGGGAACCAACTTGTTTCGAACCAAATTTGATTTTTTGTTTTGAAACAATGCAGGTGTGTCGTGCCGTGGCTTTCGATCAGCACTGGGATGTCGGGGCCCGGCTATGCCATGCAGTAGACCGAAGTAGACAACCGAAGATCCACATTGCCAGGCCGAAACGGCTAGCTTCGAATGTGCACTCTCATGCAACAGCCAGGCAGGAGGCCGCAGATCAAACAAGAGCGATCAAAGAAGAGTGCAAGGAACGAGGAGGAGATCCAGTCTGTCCGAAACTTCTGCAGCTGCAGCTAACAATTGCTAGGAATCCAATTCCTCATTCAGATTTCGTCCTCCACAATGGCAAACTCGATCAAATTGCCCTACAGCCTAAATCTTCATTCCATAGTTGCCATAGTAAGCTTTAGTAGGCATCTGACGTGACGCTGTAGGCAATGGTGGCCATGGACAGGGACTTCGACAGACACTGCTGAGCTTGCGGCAGTCTCCGCATCCCTGCGTTTGAGCTTTGCATCTTTGAAGTGGGGTCCCCTAACCACAATCTCATCAGTTGCAGCGCAAGCTCTGGCCTCCAACGTACCTTCCGTTTAAGGTCGATTCAGTTTGGTATGACGGACAACAGGAAGACATCTCCACATGAAGTGTCGGATTACAAAGCTGACTGAAAGAACAGAGCTTGAGCTTAACAGCCAGGCCTAGCATCGTGCTGCAGCTGAGGGGCTTGCATAGAGGAGGGGCCCTGCGCAAGTTATGTGCATGTTTTTGTGGTGAAGAGGGGTGTCATGCACCGAACCGATCTCGATGAACGAACCTTACAGCGGTGTTTGGGATCTTGTGTGTCTCGTGAGGCTCAATGCAATGTAAGGTCAGCAGTTGACATGACTTATGTCTGGATGACTCATGTCGCCGAAACTTAAACACCATGAAGAATGATTGCTCCTGAGTCATATGCTTCATTTCCATCGGTGCGATCCCTCGTAATCCTCCTGCGCATAGAAAGCATAGAAGCAAGCGGGCGGTTTTTGAAGCGCGTGCTGTCGTGATTGTGTCCAGTTGTTCTTGAGCTCCTCCGACACCTGGTGCCGCAGACATGCGATGGTATGAAGCTCATGTGGAGTGCAAAGCCGAGATTTGCCCGCATGCATCAAGCTTGATAGAGATGGACTGCCTGGCTGCCTAGCAATAAAACCATGGCAGTCATCACCTGTGTTTTAGATCGGAATGCCTCTGACCACGCCGACAAAAGGCAGACCAGTCCCTTAAACCGGGACTGTTTGCCTTGCGGTGAAGCAATGGTTCCGTTCATGCAAAACAAAAAGCTAAAGCGATGTCGACTCTGTTTGGTCGGGGCACGCTGAGTCTAGAGCAATGGTCAGAGAACGTGCTCGAACGGAGATCTTCTCGTTCAAGAGCAATGTTCTACGACCGTTTGGGAAGCTTCTGACTGCAGGGGCAGCGGCCTTCGCCGCACGAAGGCCCCGAAGCACATGTTCCTGGGGTTAGAAGCGCGCTTCTGCACATCCCCTCGATTCCTCGATGTGGGCGCAAGGAAAAGGTTAACTCAGCTCTGCGTTTCACGCAAGCTGAGTTGGCCTGCCCGCCTCTAATTTTTCAATCTGACTTGCTGTCTGCCCCGTTGTGGACAACATACCGTCGCATGTAGGCTTTTGAAGAGTGTTTTCTGTTTTGGCGACTTTGTGTTGGTGCTTGGCCGAACCTGTCCAAATCCATAGACTCTCCCGTGACAAACAAGTCGCCGAAACGGACCCATCTGCACATTTCCTTCGGTGTGCGGCTTCCCAGACCAGACCCCGAACGGATTACCTTGCACTGTCGAAACGAAGGCTCGGAAAGGATTTCTGCACTCATAAGAGATCTTAGTCATGAGTCCACTTGGGGTCTGGGCCATTCCAGCAAGGACCTCCAAGGCTGAGAGCTACGGCGCTTTGGCTGCCCTCGAGTTGAGCCACGCCTTCTCTGAGCCATCCTGGTCCGCTCCTTTATGTTTTCTCGATCTGGTGAGAGGACAGCTTGGCCAGCGACATGATGATAGCACATGATACAGCATATGGTGGTCATGTAGAAGGATCTGAATATGAGGTGATGGTACTGAGACGTGAGGTGACTTCAAACATGATGCAATGTGCCGAATATCTGAACGTCGGTATGCATGCTACTCTTTCGAGGACCATCATGATGACAAACATTGTGACAGGTGCTTGTACTACAGACAGCAGGTTGCAGGATAATTTCTCTATGTGGTTTTGATGTGATTTCAATGTGGATTTCATGTGATTGCTCAATGTGATTTCAATGTGAATTTAATGTGAGCTGGGGCGGGGGGGGGGGGTCGGACGGGAGAGGGAAGGGCATGTCACATGGAAATCACATTGAATTCACATTGAAATCACATTGAGATCACACTGGATGCGCATCAGATGTGATTTCAATGTGATTTCGATGTGATTTCAATGTGACTTCAATGTGATTTCAGTGTGAATGCAGTGTGATTTTAATGATTTGCCCCCCCCCCCCAACCCGCACCCCCAGCCCGTCAAATTAACAGTACATTAAAATCACATTCGTTATTCAGAGTCATTCACATTCAAATCACATTAGAAGCACATCAAAAGCACATGAAGCAATATTCCAGGATTCTTGGCTTAGTAGGGCACTGCCCATCACAAGACAAACATTGACAAACCGAACCCGACCTCATCAGCGCTACATCGCCATCCTCACCCGCACCATTTCATTGTTCCCGGTACCACTGCATTCATCGTTGTCGTCCTGATTCTCACCTCTTTCACTGTCTCTCTCTCTCTCTCTCTTTGTCTCTCTGCCTTTCTGCCAGGCTTTCCGCTCCTGCTCTTCCGCTTCTGCCCCCATCATCCACATCACCGTCATCACCGGAATCATGGTTACTCGTCTTGGCAACGCTGGGCTATCCACACCAACACGGTCTGTGAGTTAGGGCGCAGCTCCAGCTCATCGAATCCGGAAGTTTTTCTTCAGGCCTCAAGCTGTTTCCTTTCTGGGATCTTTTCCAAGTAGCAGAACCTCAGCAGAGGTGTTTGGACTCAAAGTTTGGACGTACGAACAAAACGTGCTGCCACGAATCGCGATCACCACTCTATTCGCAGAGTGTGTATCGCGCGATAAGAGTCCGGACACCGCATCAGGTAGTCGGGAGAGAGACAATCTCAGATGCACTCTCTGGTGCAATGCGTCATGTGAGCAAGGATGGATGCAAGGCAGGAGCATAAACAGGAAGTTCGTGGAAGGCTGCTCCAATGCCGCAGCTTCCGCATCCGAGTCCTCCTGTCGGCGGGGGGAACCCATGGCTCCGAGAGCGTGCTGGCTTCGAAGTTCCCTGCGCTTTCGACGGAGGCCCTAGTTTGACTCCGGTCAGGACATTGGCATACATCATAAGGTTGCGACGACCACTGAAACTGTAACTTGTAACTATTCCTGCTTTACCTGCGCAGATTTGGGCATCGCTTTGCACTGCCGGCCATTCGACCGCCCCTGACACTGTCAACCGTTACTAGTTTGTCGAGTCTTTGTGTGAACGTTGCCATCATGTGGCTTTCACTTGGCAAAGATTGAGTGAATCTTAGGCTCAGGGAATCTAGACCATCTTCTTGCACTTGATTGTAGACGCCAGAGGCTGTTCGGACAAGAAAGTGCAGAAAGTGGCCGGCAATGCAACCTGCAACAGGTTCCGATTCGTTGGCCCCATCAGCCCAAGGATTATTGTAAGCCGGTGAAGGGCTTACGCGCGCACAAATCTTTTTTGCAACATTTCAACATGGTTTAAAGTTGCACAGACTCTCTCTCTCTGTCCCTCGAACACAGGCAGAGCTCAGGAGCCTCCCCTTTCGTGGCTCATGGATTTGGGGTCTCACTCGTTCCGTCTAGCCTTAGCCGACCAATGGATATCCGGATCGGCATGAGCCTAGGTCAGGCACGTCACACTGCACGGAGATCTCGGCACGTCTATGTTG